GGAAGGCACTATAAACAGGCACCATGTGGTTAACAGGAAGGCTGCCGAGGTCCTCAGCAAGCACAGGACCTCAGGCAGCCGCTTCAGTGTTAAAATTTAGTGGCCGTGTTCTGTGGAGAACGTCGACCCAGTATCCCGGTCGCAATTGTGACCGCTGCGACCTTGGTAATTTCGCCAGTTGTATTTATATAGCGCCGAAAATTTTATGCAGTGCAGTCACATCAGTCCCTGCTCTCAAGGAGCTTACGATCGAAGGTCCCTATCTCACATGTATACATACAGGGCCAATTTAGACAGGATCCAATTAACCTACCAGCATGTCTTTGGAGTGTGGGAGGAAATCGGAGCAAGCACAGGGAGAACATGCAAACTCCTTGCAGATGTTGTCTTGACCAGGATTTGAACTGGGGTCCCTTAGTGTTGCAAAGCAGAAGTGCTAACCACTATGCCACTATGACCGTATCAAAAAAATATTAAAGGAGCAGGATGATTATTTTTTGTTAAACAAACAAAATTGTAACAGTTATTGCAGTTTCCATTCACCAAACTCCATTTCCAAAATTTAATGTTAAAACCAAACAAAATTTTGAACAACATGCACCAAATGATCGCATGATGGTACGTTCGAATTAGATTTTTCATATGAACGTTCATACGAAAACCTGCAAGTGAATGGCTTACTTTAGACATTCAGCTAATAAATCAGACATTCATATGGTTTCTGGGTACCTATGTTATCACTGTAATGGCTAGGGATGTTCAGATACCAGTGCTGATACTTGTCATTAAGAACTACCCGGATCGCAGAAGTTGCAGCTGTGACAGGGCCCTGGGGCTCCACCACTGTCCTGAAATCATTAGTCTGTCTTATTTTTGAAAAACTGACAAAAACAAAAAAGGTATATATATATATACACACACACACACATATATATATATATATATATATTTATATTTAATTCATACATTAAAACAGGGATGCAAAAATACAAAGAGCCCCTTATTCTCCTTAAAAATGACAGCTGCCTCCTAACTGAGTTTTTCTCTAGTCTAGTCTTGGAGCTGAAGAAGTATCTGTACTTGTACCAAGTACAGTACTTATTATCTGAACATCCCCAGTAATGGCATCTCCCATATTATAAGCAGTACAAATGTTGCATGGTGGGACATTTCTTCAGTTCCTGAACAAGTTTTTAAAAAAACACGGTGAGTTTCCAAGGCTTTATTATATCTTTGATAATGGAGGAAGCTTCATGATCACATGTAATGTTTAAGATATGAGCTATAAGGCATATTACGCATTCAGTCTATAGGCATATTAGTATAACACAGGTTTAGTCATATGCCTTGTGCTCATGAACTGCATTAGTTTGGTGTTGTAAATGTCCATTGTATTTCAGCCACAAAATGTATGAACATACTAACATTTGGTCTGATCTGTTGCAGCACACTGTCTTCTGAAAAGCAGTAAAGCAAGACATAGTTACATAGTTACATAGTATTTGAGGTTGAATAAAGACATTAGTCCATCAAGTAGACATTGAGATACATCCCTCCATTCTAAGTCCCACATGCTCACTGCTGAACCCATTACTACCAGTGCAGTATGGGGAGATGAATCAAAATGGATTACTAAATAGGTATTTGGTAAATTTATTCTGGCAGCTAGAATGTTACAAAAGTAAGTGGTTGGTAAACTGAAATAAATATATGTATTCCTTTTCTGAAATATCCAGATGGATATTTATTTTGGGCATGCTTCAATTGCAATATGAGAGTGAATGCACCCATGTTAGATTATGTGGGGAGGGGAACTGAAATTATATTAATAGATCACTAAATAGATATTGGGCACTTTTATTCAGGCTGCTTAAGTTTTCTTAAATAGTGGAAGGATAAAAAGTGGAATTTTCCCACTGGTTCTTAAAGTGACATTAGAGTCATAAAATCCCCCCCAATGCTGCTTTAAGGACTTACCTTGGGGTAAGTGTTTTTCCCCATAGTTCTCTTTAGGGTCACGGGAGGAAATATACTAACCTCTTCCCGTAACCCAAAGCTCAGTGTATAGCAGGCTATTGCCCGCGATATACTGAGAGCGCCGCAGCTGGGACGGATCCCGACAATACTGTCTGGATCCACCTAGCTGCGCTAGTGACAGCTGGCTCTGCCTTCTCCACTCAGCACTGGAGGATCACAGAGGGAAGGGGGGAATCCCTGCGGGGAGCAGTGACCGACAGTCACAGCTCACTAGAGGGAGATGATCGGGAAGTGAGCTGATCAGTGCATGTTTTTGCTCACTTCCCGATCGATAGAGCCGACCTGTGACCACTGTGACCTGTGACCGCTTCTTTGTCAGGGGTCAGCTCTAACTATGAGGATGAGTGGAAATCACTCACTTCTCCTTTAAATAATGCCTCTTAATCCAATCATCTTGTTTCCAGGAGTCCCTCCAGCGCTGGTTCCGGTCTCTGATCCAGTGCTGACTCCTGTCCCACGGAGTCTGTTCGGGTGCACGCTGCTGCATTGACTTACCCTGTGTCTCTCCTCTTCTCCGGGCCAAAGATCTCAACTGCACATGCGCCCGCCCCATGATCCTTTGCGGCCCCCCGAGAATCTTTCAGACGGGAGTGCGCAGCGGAGACACAGGTAAGTTTAAACCCCTTTAACTTATTTTTTCTCTTTAATGTTTTTGCATATATCTGCTGCTAGCTAGCACTAGATATATGCAAAAACGCAGGAGGCTTTAATGATCCTTTAAATTCTGTCAATATATTTTCTTCAAATGAAAACTGATAGAAAAACAGGACGTTTTCTCTTTAAGTTAAGAAAATGTGGATTCTGTTCAGCTGGTGTGAGCTGAAACTGGTTGTTTTGCCAGTACTGCACAGCGGTATTCACACATCTAGTTCTCTATACCCAAGGCCAGTTTACATCACTAAACCTTTCTACTTAGCTTCAGGGCATTCAATGATGTTGTTTCAAATAAAGATTACAGGTTGCAGGCTATCGTTAGCTTGCCGCATAAAGTGTCAGCTGGGGCTAGAAAAACCATTGCTGTACTACACAGGGACAATTCAATTTGAATACATGGAAGTCAATATCACATCTTAAAAACGAAGCATTCAGCCCATATAAATATGCAATTCATTTCTCAGCATAATCGGGATATTTGGTGAAGCAAAGCTGTTTTCTTTACATGAATATAAATAGAACCACTGCTAGAAGATTCATCACATAAAGAGTATACATTACCTGTCCTGCTGTTCAGGCTCCTGAAGTATGCATGTGGTCAAATGATAAATTACTTGGCTTTTTGCCATGGAAAAACTGCAGACCTGTGTCTAAGAAAGGTGGAAAGCTGACTATACACTGTACAAATTTAATCAAGAAATGGACAAAATTCGCACAGTGAGTTACGCTGTCTCCAGCTTTCTGTCTGGCACCCTTCGATCAGAAAATCTAAGGAGCTGGATGGAAAAACTTTTGGGCAAACAGTGACAGGGGCCAATCAGTTGTGATCACGGTTTAGGTATTTTGACAACAGCACCCCCCGCTGTCAGCACACAGCAAAAAACAGCATGGACGGAGAAATCTGTTTTATTTTTGTTTAGCCCGCAGGAACAAAAAGGAATGTATGGCAAGCTTTAGACACGGTTTGGCAATTCTCATGTAATAGTAAAATCCACCTCTGATATAGGGAAATATTTAAAGTGGACCTAGTGCCACATATACTTTTCATTGTACTAAAAATGTATAGGAGCATTTTTATAAAGCATTGAATGTGATTTCATGATTCATGCACTGGTAGTCAATAAATCAGTAATTTAAAACTCATGCACCTGTAATATTCACCAAAATGCACCGAAATGAAAATTTTAAAACCGAAACTAAACCGAAATGAAGAAAATGTCAGGCCGAAACAGAAAAAGTTTTTTTTCTAACATTTTCAAATTTTTTATTTTTATTTCTTTTTTATAAACTTTAAAAAAATTATATTTTATT